GAAGATGGGCATATGCTTCTCTGATACACAAAAGAATTTAGATACGGAATTTTTGAATGCCAAGCATGATTTCCTATGTGGGAAAAAATCCTGTTTATTTTCAATTATGTATGAGGATTTATATTGTATATATTTAGTAGCAAATTTCTGTCTTTTTAGAATGAAATCTTTTGGACTTTGAAAAATAAGCATGCAACAGGAATTAGAATCTAGTGATTTGCTGTCTGCAAGTAGCATCAGTTTTATAGGACCTCTAAATGTAAAATGATGCATCTGGATGCTGGTGGGGAAGATGCTCCAGACACGGAGGTGAAGTGGTTTGCCTGTATCATGATCTCATGACAAAGTCATGACATGAAGTCCTAGATTCTACTCTGAATGCTTTAATGATGAGATATCATTATTATGAGCACTCTGCGTACTTTCAAATGATCACCAGCTAGTAGGATGATCAGATTAATTTTATTTCTCTGTAAACAGAACTGGCCGGGGTTTAGCTCAAAAGGTTATTGATAGTATCAATAGCTCTCTCAACCAGATTTGATAGCTCTTAGCTCCTGTATGTTTTGTGCAAACAATCCTACTATTCCAAATTATCTCTAAGAAATATTTTTAAAATTTACTGACTTTTGAGCACAATCATGTATTAAGACTGCAGGTTGATTTTTGTGTGTGTGTTTTTTTATGGTCTTGCTTTCTGCCTGTGTTCCCCTTTCCCAAGGGTTAGTGTGCATGCCCTTTGAGCCCTCTGATAAAGCAAAATTTTAGATACACTAAAGCAAACTCCCGTAAAGCAAAGTTCTTGTGATCAACTTGTGCAAACAATATCAGGCTGTAGTGAACGTAATTTGTTAGTGCCGTGTACACACAGGGTTTTATTTCTGGGTAGGCATTACTCCTATTGAAACACAGGAAATTCCAGCTGAACATAAAACAACACTTCTTCACTGTGAGGGCGGCTGAGCACGGGAACAGGTTGTCCAAAGAGGCTGAGGAGCCTCCATGCTTGAAAATATTCCAAGTTCAGCTGGACGTGGCCCTGGGCAGCCTCCTGTGGCTGCCCGTGTTTGGCCAGGGGGGCTGAACCAGATGATCTCCAGAGGTCCCTGCCAGCTCCAACCACTCTGGGATTCCATGTCTTTTAATAAACAAGTATATAGTAAGGAGGACAGCTTTCCAAAGAGTACAGCTAACTTCATGAATTAATCCACTAAAAATGCTATTACATTCTTGTTAATTGTTATGAAATCTTATAAAGAAAAGATCACTTTTTTTTCTGAAGTACAGCATAGTTCAGGTGCTCTTCCTTATTTTCAGTTAGTGGATACTGATCATTAACTGCTAATCTGTATCATCATCGCTCTTTGTTTTCAAGTAGGTTGGATGTATGGGATACCTACTTCAGATGTAGTGTGTCATCTTGGTAGAATGTGACAATCATCTTGGAACATTTAGAGGAGCAAAATTACTATTTTAGGGCAGGCTCAAAAGGTATTTAAATTCTATAAAAACTGAAAAACTGCCAGTTGCAACTCCCTTGTCTAATGTGGACACTTCCAGTATTCCTATAGGAAGTCAGCTAAACTAATGGAACTGTCTTAAAGTAAGGGCTGTGCAAAACTCTGAACAGTTGAGTAAAACAAGTTGACTAATTTTATTTAGGACATCTAAAACCCTGACATCTTTTCTCAGTATATACGAAGTTCTTGTGTTGGATTGACACATTAATTGTAGGAATATATCCAAATTCAGTGAAACAGTAGCATCAGTTCATCTGTCTTAATCCATGCTTGCAGATTACAAAGCACAAGGGTTATGGTAAAGTAAAGCAGTCATTCATATTCTGTAGCAAAGGAATGTGGAATTCAAAGGGATTTGTCATGAAATAACGTGATGCTAATAAGCTGCTTGCTATTTTTAGAAGCATTAGGTTATAATAATTGTCAGCTCCTGGTGAGAATTACTCTAGCTCCTGCTCTACTTTTCCTCAGAAGTGACTGTTTTTGGTAAAGGCAGAGCACTAGGAGCCTAATATGGTTTGTTGTTTTCTAATGAACAACTATAATGAGCAGAGACATGGGAGGAATAAACTGTTTCAAACAGCTCAGGAACAGGACTGATCTTCCCAAGGATATTAAGGCTGGAGCTCCTTGAACTAAGGAGCATGTTCTAAGCATGGAGAGCTTTCTTTTGGAAACCTAAACAAGAAATAGATATTAATATATCTGCATTTTAAGGGTGCTCTAGATGGCTACGGCATCTAAACTCTGTCAGATAGGGCAGCAGGAGTCCTTAGATCCAGTGTTTCATCTTAGTGGTGCCCAGGTGTCTGGAGTCATCGAAGCACAAGGAATATGAGCGTAGACTGTATTTTAGGCATGGTTTGCAGCAAGTCCATTCTAAGCCATTGCTAATAGCTGATGTGAGCAGGGGCGCTTAATGTTTTATGCCGTGCACAAGGTTGTGCTTTGAAGGGTTAGCAGTAGGTTTAGGAGCTTGTGGACTATGCACCAAAAAGAAGGATTCAAGAACTGCTTAAAACCTTTTCTGAAAACTTCTGAAAAGGAAAACTCGGAACTCCTCCCCACAGAAAGCTTCCGTTTGCTTTGTGGTGTCCTATCAGATAATTAGTTCAGTTCCATCTTTGAGCAGTTAAACTCTGTTCTCAATGCTGAAAACTACCTATTTTAGTGGAACTGTTCACCATTGTAGCCTGACTTCGACTGATACAGGCATTTGAGGGCCAAGATACTAGCTTAGGGCCTATGCAGCACAGCGCAATAAGCCTGTGGTTGTTGCCCAAGTTACTTGACTTCGTTCTTTCCTTTAGTGCCCTTCTAAAAAGTGAAATGTTAAGGGCCGTAAATTTCATACAGGCTCGAAACTCCTCAGGTTTGGTGAGGTAGGAATTTTGTAGCTGATCGTCATTTTGAGTTGAGATTAATTCCGTAGAAAGATGTATAAAGCCATATAAAAACAGAAATGGAAAAAGAATAGCAACTGAGGAGTGCCTGGCTTTTAGCAAATGCTTGTACCTGTGTTTTTTGGCTATTTTTGCCATTTTGTGGAGACTCCTGAAAATACAGAGATTGACTTCCAGTGTCCGTTTCTGGCTGGAATTTAATGGATTCATTATAATGATGTGTACACTACAGTGTTTACACCTTTAACTGCTTATGCTATTTAATTTCAACCTTCCAAATGTATTTTATTGTAACTTGAGCTTGAAATAGTTAGGCTGCAGTAACATATAAGCCATGCCGATAAAACAAAGGAAGAAACCAGGAGGAAAAGCATAAAATAACAGTAACAAAAAGCAGAACTTAATCATGCAAATGCTTGTGATGGGTTCATGTATTCTCTTAAACTATAGGAGCAAAGAAATAAATACTGTGGAGAGACGGGACAGCTTTTCAGAGCACTTCTGATATTGGGCCAGACTAATACAGCAATTGGTTCTAAACTCTAATCATTCTAATGGTATTTGTAATGCAGTACAGCTGGGTGGAAATATTTCACCTGCTCTGTGCCCATAATAAGCTAGGAAAATTAACAGTGAATTGAGATGAAAAACTGTTTTTATCAGTAGGAATGTAATTACTAACTTGGAAATGGATCAGGACCCTGGAGGCCAGCAGATTCCTGCCCTTAAAATAGTATTAGATACTTAAAATCCAAGATGACTGATCACTGGCTGATACAGGGAATGCCTCTTTTGCACTGGCTTTCGTACTGCTTTTAGCACTCTAATAATGTAGGCAAATGGCATTTATACAGTTTTAAAACTGTTTAAATCTAGGTCTGTTTGCTTTGAAGAATTTTCAGTTTCGCAAGTATGGCTGGGGACAAAAAACTACGTATTCACTGCTGTATTACTGCTAGTTGTGGGAGAGAAGCAGTCCAGAGCAAACATGGGTCTCGGGCTGCACATGCCTTGCTTTTGTATTGGAGCAGATACTTTTCATGCTTGATCTTGGTTCAGAAATGAATCTCTTAGTGGCTGAAATACATCCTTCAGGACTGATTTTAGCATTCTTGAACAGAAATATTAAATGCAAGGTCAAGAAATATAATTTAAAGTTCTGTCTGACTGTTTCGTTTCCATAAATATGTATAAATAGATGAAGAAGACAGATTGATGAATAATTTTGGGAATAAGTTTTTTTTTGCTTACATTAGTGACCTTTTATGATACTATAAAGATTTCAAAATTTATGTTTACTTTGGTTGTCCTGTATTTACTAATTAATGTACCACTGTGATATTTTCTTGTGGCTTAAATTAATGCCAAGATTTGCAAGATGTAGAAGTTGAAATTTTAATTGGGAAAGATTGAGCTATGTAGGTGTTAAGTGGTGGCTTTGGCTAATATAAAAGATAAATATTTGGTAACTGTACTTTAGAAGGCTTGAGATAATGAGTCCGTTAGTCATATTGCCTCGGATTTGTTGCATCTTCATTTCTAATGTGTGAATTACCAAATTTCAGAACTTTTTGAAATAAAAATCAGAGCTAACTTTTCACACCATAAAGCAGACTGTTTGGAATAGTGCTATTTGTATAAAGACTTTATGCAGCACCTGAAATAATTTTTCAGAACTAGATTAGTGTAGTTTATAATATAGTGTTTTAGGTGCAGGAAGTGATTGAAGTTTCCAGAACTCATCTTTTCTTTTAGGCTGAAGCACTATGTTATGATTTTTCCTTACAATATGTCTCCCAGGATATGATCTTTACTTTGTGTCTCAGAACTGAAAGTATTTTTAACAGTTCAATACATTTTAACAAGAAATATGAAGGAACTGGCGATTCAACTTGTAAATAAGAATATTTTAGTTTGCATTATTCTTATGTCAGACTGACTTTAGCAGCATAGAGATATGTGCTTTTGCTAATTGTGCTCCAACGATGTAGAACAGAACTGAGTTTTTTTATGTTTGGGATGGCTTTATTTGACACTGTATGTTGCCTAAACTGGCTTTGTTTGTGTTTATCTGCAGGATCGCACAAGGACTTTTGACATGCATTCACTGGAGAACTCGCTAATTGACATAATGAGAGCTGAAAATGATTCACTGAAAGGTAAATTTAGAAAGGGACTATTTCCTGCAGCAACGTTGTGGCTTAGAATATGAAACTTCAGTTTTGGTTAGAACAAATAAAGTTAAATTGTGCACCTAGTGCATATCGGTCAACTCATGAAGGCCTCACTTTTCCAGTTGTCTGTAGATGAAGCTCTTGCAGCAGGTGAGCCCTGAAGTGTCTTCTGCCTTTATCCAAAACAATCAGAAATACAAATATAAGCTGATCTTTTGATTAAGTTGCCCGTGCTGTTTTTAATGGATGCAGTATGTGCCATCTATAGAAATGATCAGCTTCAGGAGTCTTTCTCCCATCAGTAAGATCTAACTTTCTACTTGACGTCAAGAGTTCTTTCTGTCTTGGGGAAGAATGAGGTTTAACTAGTTTCAGAAGAACAATGAATACTTCATCACATTTTTTTTAAAGTTCTTTATTTTTGCCACCTTGAAGTGTGGAGTTCTTTTATATACCAATGGGAAAGGAAGGGCGTTGAAAGGACAACAAACTTGCACTTGGGATTTATCTCTTTCTTTTTTGCCAAACATAATCCTTCGTTGAATACTTTAGCTTACTAATTACTTAGTATTGTCTGCATATTTTATTTATCTGTACCTGAATAGAAATGGCTTATAGTATGTCATTCAGAAGTTTAGTTTCTTTTTTCTTTTTTTTTTTTTTTTGGTATTACACAGTAATACTTGTTTCAGTTCAAGTAGTCAAAGTTTTATTTTGTACTGGTTATCTAAGAATTCAGTTTTGTTACCAATCATGAGACCACTAAAAAGCGACATGGATTTGTGTGTTTTCAAAAGCCAGTTTCTTTTGATAGCATGGTTTATGGTGTTAATGAAATCTGACTTGTTTTAATAGTGATTCTTGCTTGGAGGAACAATCTTGGATAAACTGGCAATGCTTTGTGTTCGTTACATTCCCTTTGGTCTGAAATACAACTTGCCTTTCACATCTGCAGTACTGCACAGCAATTTAGGGTGACAAAGAAACACCAAGCGAAAGACTTTCCTACTGAAATTACAGGGGATCCTGATCATGATAAAATGATCACCAAATAAATTCAAAATACATTCCCCAGTGGAGGGTCAGGCCTTTATTAATGACAAGTATTAACAGCTTTTGTTTGTTTTACATGCTGTATGGTTAATGGCAGCATCCCCTCTCCCAGCCTACTGAAGCAATAGGCGAGGTCTAACTCCTGGGTCTTGCTCACACCATCTATTCAGCGCTCAGGCAGGCCCAACGCAAGGTTTAGCTGCTAAAATCCCACAAGATAACAACTCAAAGTGGCATGGCTGTCAACCACATAAAATCCACCTTTAAAACTGAATTCAACAAATCCAGTCAGGTTGCTCTGTGCTTATATTCTGTGCCTAAGCAAAGGTGGTTTTGTACAGCACTGCCGTTTTTAGTGCAAATGCTCTGAGAAAATTCTTGGGATTGGAAGCACTTTAAAAAGTGCTTTCCATGTTTTCGCAAAGATTGATGGAAAAAAACTGTGTCAGCAAAGAACGTGTAGTTTGATGCATGTTAATTCCTGCTTGAGCTTGGTTATTAATCCACTGTGCAGAGTCATCACTTTGCCTAAAGCTTTGTGTTTATTGCATCAAAATGATTGGAACAACATAGTATCAATATGGTTTTGTTCTGGAAAATCTACCTTATTAATAGGTTATTTATTCTGTTTCAAGCTTAATAGTTCTAAAACACAAGAAAAAAGACAAGCCTCAATACTAAGAAAAATTTAATAGTGATCCTACTGGAAATCGCTTCTGCATTTTCCAAGGATATCTTCAGAACAAACAAGTTAGTTACAGTGACACATGCAACGAATTTCACTGCTGCTTCTCTGCCTTAGCAGACTTGCACAGTGTCTTGCTATGATATATTTAGGAATGGATTTTTATTCAAACTAGCATCTTCCATGTTTTGGTAATGCTGTGGTAGTGGTCTGCAAGTAGGGCAGGGTTGGTAAGAAGAGGAAATACCTTTAGTCAAACCAACTGATGCAGCTGGAAAAAAATGCTGCTGGATTGTCCAAAACACATTTCTGGTCACATAGGACGAATGGCAGGTCTGGGTTGTCAGTTCAAACATGTGCCTTCCATTTCAAATAGGGACAGTTATATAAGCAGATCCTTGAAAAGCTTTTCATTTTGTATTTAAATAGGTTATCACTGCATACAGTGCTTCTAAGCTGAAGGTGGATAGTCTCAAAGGAAAAGCTTCTGGGCTTGAAACTTCAAAAATAGGCTTGATACTTTAAAAAAATAGAGCAATCTCAGAATGGCATGGAAATAATTCAGATCCTCTTATCGGTCTCACTGCTATCTTTTGAAGCTTTAATATTGACTTAGCTTGTGCTTAATGCACAACACTAACACCAGCCCTTCCATACTGTAGTGGACTCTAAGGGAACAGGTGCTTTGTTCAAGTGTACCTTCCAAATACCTTACACATGGAAAAGATGTRTAGATTGGAAATCACTGTTTCTTGGAACTTGAAAGAAATCCTGTGTCTTTGAATGGTGTTTTCAGAGTAGTGGGTTTTGGGTCATGAAATAAAATAATCACCAGGAGTTATAATGTTGTTAATTTGCTGTGTGTGCATGTTGACTGAGGTGGTTACTGWGGTGGTCATGGGCTTGTTCAGGAGAATATTAATTACGTTGCTGTGAGAAATAAAAGTTGTGCTTTCCGGTAGAGGTTTAAAGGTAAACCTTAAATAACACTGATTTAGTATAGTCAGTTACCCTTTAACGTTTTCAATAGGTATTTCCCATTTTTTTTCTCATTCTAATTTATATTTTTATCCCTGCATGAATCCTCTTCCTTTGCTGAGCAGCTGCCATTTCAATATGGTATTTTTATCCATGCGAGTGACTGTGCTGCGTTCTGCATAGCCAATGACAGCCTGCAGAAGCCTTTCCCTGGAGAGTAATTGCATCTTCTTTACGATGTATTTGGCCTTCATGAACTGAGCCGGGGATCCAGAGCCTGATTTTTTGAATCTGGGTCTTCCAGATGGCARTTTTAGCATTACTGTAATAGTGGTCAGTTGCCTAAATATTTAAAGTATCTTTAAATACTTTATAGCAGCCGACTTTTATTTCTGAGATATCCTGTGCTTCCGTTCAGGATATAGGTTTATTGCCCAGAATGTTGCAAGGTGAAAGGGATTGAAGAAGCAGCCGAGTGCATCGGGCGCTAGGATAGCAAGGCACTCTGGTAAGATTGTGGTGTGGATAGCTCCATAGCTGCGTGAATGCCACGTGGTGGAAAAGCAAGATTGAAGAGCCATATGGATGAAAAGGAAGGTTTTCAAAGTAGCAGAAGGGCAGACCAGACTGTGTGTGCACCACGGGGAGGGGTTGTTGGACATCAGCTCTAAATTTAAGAGATGAGAAAGTGTGAAGAGAACTGGAAGATTTACTGTTTTTTTCCCCAGTGACTCACCATTTGGAATTTCACTTAGTGAGCTAGTGTACCTGTCTAAAAGCAGGTTTGACAATTCCCTGAATGTCAGAGAAAAAGCTGGACTAGTTGTTGCTCTTGTAGTCACATGGAGTGAGCAGGGTATCCCCACCGATGGAGTAGAGCAGGTTGTTGGTTTCCCATATGCGCCTGGTGATTTACAGAGTGTCTGGGAAAAACGAGACCCAATTTTTGCTGAGGGCTAAATAAGAATTAAGACAAGTGGTGCTTTATGTATGTGCAGGATAAAAAATGAGCTTTTTTGGTTATTTTTAGGTATAAAACCTTTAACTTTTTCATAGAGAGCTMCAAGCTGGTGGCCAAAGCCAGCTTTTATTTCCCCCTCTTGTTTTAYGCTAAGAGATACAGGGGCCTTTTGCTGAGTGCTGAAACCCAAGACCTCYGAGAGCTCTGCCTGTTCCGTGGAGCTGCCGACGTCCTCGTGATGTGTGTGACGCCCCGTGCCCGGGAAAGGAGCTATTCCTACCTCGGGCTTGTGTGAGCAAGCTTAGCTGCTGAGCCAGTTCAGGGGCCTTGTCTCCGTGCAGCTTTACCTAAGGATTGCTCGCTACCAACTTCATTAACTCTTATTATATAATTAGTATAAAATGTGCAAGAACTTTCACTGTCCCTGCGTCAGGCTTTGACGTGGTTACCCCAAAACYGTTCCTGGGTAATGGCCTTCAGGAGCTGTTGGGGGTGATTGTACTGAACGATTCCTGCTCAGGGTTTGCCCATTTTCTACTTCCTGCTCAATAATTGGGAAAGGCCTAATGGGATTTGCAGGATGGGCGTTAATATTAATTAAGAGGGTAGCCAGCTGAAATACTCCCTTTAAAACGTTGCTGAGCTTAAAACCAAAGACCAGGGCTGCTGCTGACAGAGCTGGGGCGGGAAGCGGTCGCCTTGCAGCCCATTTTGGATCAGCAGCCCCTATGCTCCTGCATTCCGCTATTTGGAACCGGATTAGGGCACAGCTTTTATCATTGCTATAAAGACCGCCGTGGTCACAACCATAGGTGACTGGGGAGCTCACATTCCTTGCCTGTCACCCAACAGACATTTAACTTCTCATTTAAAATGAAGGATGCGGAGCTCGGCAGCTTGGCGCGGCCGGCGCTTTCCCAAGAGATGCTCTAATGGGGGAGACAGTGGAGGAACTCGAGCGGCAGGAAAAATGCATGCCTGGAACTAGCAAAAATAGGGGCACTCCAACATATACTGTGTATATCTATATATATATGTATTTTTTTAAAAAAGAAAGCACCTTGGTTTCTGTTTGCTCAGTTATGTAGTGTCCCGAGAGGCCTTTCAGAGCGGCCCGCGCTGCCGCAGGGCCCGAGGGGCGGCGGGCGCCGCGGCTCGGAGCGCCCAAACGCTCCGCGGGGCAGGGGAGGCCGCCAGGGGCCGAAGGGAGCGAGGCGGGGGGAAGCTGCCGCCCCCGCCGCGCGGGTGTGGTGTGTAACGTGTGCGCGCGTGGAGCCGCGCGTGGCGTGTCGCGGGAACGGATAAAAG